ATGTCCGGATTTTCCCGATACGGGGTCCCCAGATATTCCGACCTCTTCCCCAGGGCCAACGTTTCATCCCGAGCCGTTTGCGGACGGTCCCAGGGCCGGGCGAGGGCCCCCTGAGTCCGAAAACAAACAAACAACAAAAAAAAAAAAAAAAAAAAAAAAAAAAAAAAAAAAAAACGCTCGTCGTGGTCTGTTCACGACGCGAGCCTGTCCTGGGGACGCTCGACAGCACGCGCTCCCCCCGCCGGAGGCGGGCTCGGCCTGCCAGCAGGACGCACGCCGGCAGCAGCCTCGCCATGGCTCCGCTTGGCGGCCGAGACGGCGGGGAGTCGAGAGCCGCCTCTCCGCGACGAGTCGCTCCGCCGCCGCTGCCGCCGCCTCCGCCGTCGTCGTCGTCGTCTTCGTCTTCGTCGTCGTGATCGCCGTCGCAGTCGTCATCATAATCCGCCGCCGTGCCTCCTGGCACGTTGAGGCGCGGCAGAATACCGAGTGCTGTCTGGCAGAGCGTCTGTATTCTAGCAGGGGACACCGCCCCTCTACCCGCAAACTTCTGCCAGCCTCGGCCCCCTCTCCCGAGGACACGATCCCTCGTTGAAACAGGATGGGTCCACGCTCCCGAGGCCACGAACCCTCGGTGGCAACGGTTGATCCACGTCCCGAGCTTCCAAAACGGCCCATGCAGGCAACCAAGGACGCCAAGATTGCCCAAGATGCCCCGAAGACGGCCCAAGATAAGCCCAAAGCGGCCGAATATGGCTCAAGACGGTCCAAAATGCCTTCAAGAAGGCCCAAAACGGCCTCGCCTTTTCGGGCTTCCGTCAGCTCAAGACGGCCCAAGAAGCCTCCACAACGACCCCAAGGCGGCTCGAGAGGTCCCCAAGAGGGTCCCAAGATGTCCCAAGAGGACCCCACGATTGCCCAAGAGGCATCCAAGATGACCTCAAGAGGCTCCCCCATAGCACCTAAGACGGCCGCAGAGGCCATTTGACGACCCAGAACAGCGCCATGACGGCCCCTAGACAAACACAATACAGCCAAGAGGGCCCCAAGACGGCCCAAGAGAGCCGCAAGTTGTCGTAAGAACCCAGAACGGCCAAAAAGGGCCCCAAGAAACCCCGAAGACTGCCTCACGGGAGGCCAAGACTACCCCATGACAGTCTAAACGAGTTCCATGAGAGCTCCTCAGATAATCAAGACGGAAGGTGTCACATGTGACCACCCTGCTGATCCTCCTCATTCCCGTTGTCGTCATCATCATCATCATCATCATCATCATCATCATCATCATCAGCAGCATCATCAGCATAATCATCATAACCATAATCAGCATCATCACCACCACAATCATCACCATCCTCAACATCATCATCATCATCATCATCACCATCATCATCATCATCATAATCTGTACGATCATCAACATCACCGTCGTCGTTATCATATGGTCAACAGCATCGTCTTCATCATCGTCATCGTCACCGTCATCAACACCTTATTATCGTCATCATCATCATCATCATCATCATCATCATCATAGAAATACAATTAATTACACTTGATCGAAATCCGCCGGCCCCCTTGTGGGGCCACCATGCTGTAGACCAAGGTGTGCTGCTCCCTGCACCAGTTGCAACTTCAAGTCTGCAATGAGATAGTCCTGCTTTCTGCTTCCGACTGTAAACTGTTGCAGTCCGCGCGAGGGGGGGAGCCCCAAACCACACGGTTACCACGCCCGGATCGCGTGGGACACTGGTCAAGGTCAAGCCCGTGCGCCGAAAGGCGAGACCATGAAAGGCGCAGGCGGTGGCAATCGGCAGCGTGCTATACACACGCGCGCGCGCACGCGCGTGGAACACTTAAAAATACTTGAAATGCGCGCCCCGAGGCCATAAACCCTCGTACGTTACACAGTTCGTGCGTCCCCGAGGCAACAAACCCCACTAAATTACACGATAGTCGCGTCCCCGAAGTAACAAACCTTGTGTAAATATTTCAATACTCGCGTCCTCGAGGCATAAACCTTCGCAATATAACCCATACTCGCACTGCCGAGGCCAAGAGTGCTCCCAGGCGCCCGAAGATGGTTCCATGACGGCCAAAGAGGGCCCCAAGAGGCCCCAAGAGCGCTCCAATAGGCCTCCCGAAAGAGCCCGAAGAGGCCAAAATGGTCGATGCGACCAAGGTTTTTGAAGGATGTTGGCCTTCTCGCATGTTCGGTTTTCCAAAGCTCCAAGACTGAGCAAGAAGCACCCAAGATCGCCCCAAGACAGCCCAAGAGGCCTCCATGAGGGCCCCAAGACGGCCCAAAAGGGCTCCAAGATGGCCCAAGAAGCGCTCGAGACGGTCCAAAAAATGGCCCCAAGACGGTCCCATGAGGGGCCGAAGCAGGGGACCACGAACCAAACATTTAGCGCATAATATATATTATATATATATATATATATATATATATATGTATAAACTCATATACAGCTACATATACATATATATATATATATATATATATATATATTTATATGTATATATATATGTACATGTACATATACATATACATATACATATATATATATATATATATATGTAGACATATACATATACATATACATATACATATACATATACATATACATATACGTATACATATACATATACATATACATATACATTGACATCTACATATTCATATGCATGTACATATACATATACATGTACCTAAACCTAGACATTTACCTATACGTATACCTATACATATACATATACACATGCATCTACATATACATATACATACACATATACATATAAAAATACACATACATATTCATATACATACACATATACATACACATATAAATAAACATAGACATGTACATATATATATACATATATATATATATACATATACATATACATAAACGTAAACATAAACATAAATATAAACAAATACATATACATGTCCATATACATATACATACACAACCACATACACATATACATATACATATACATATACAGATACATATACATATGCATACCCATAAACATATACATACATATACATATACATATACATATACATATAACAATATACCTACACATATACATATACATAAACATATATATATACATATACCTATATATATTCCTTTACATATACATATACATATACATATACATATACATATACATATGCATGTACATAAATATCTACATATACATATATACGTGTATATATACACATAGTCATAAACATATACATATGAATATACCTATACATACACATATACATATACATGTACATATGCATACACATATTCATACACATATACATATACAGAAACAATACATATACATATACCTATACATATACATATGCACATACATATACATATACATATACATACACATACACATATGCATATACATATACGTATGCATATACATAGTCAAACACTCTACGTATACATATACATGTACATATACATAAACATATAATTATCCATATACACAGACATAGACGTAGGACATAGACATAAACATGGACATAGACATAGACATGTACATAAACACATACATATAAACATACATATACATATACATATACACATGCATATGCACAAACACATACATCTACATATACATATACATACACATATACATATGCATGTAGATATACACGAACGTACACATAGACATATACACATACATATACATACATACACATGTGCATATACATGTACATAGACATAAACGTATACACATACATATACATATACATATACGTACACATATTACTATACATATACAGTTACATAAACATATACATGTACATATACATATATATATACGTGCACATATACATATACATATACGTATACATATATATATACACATTTGTACCCTACATATATACCTATGTACATATATACATTCATACACATATACATATGCATATAGACATATATACAAATATACATATATGCAGATGCATACACATATATACATGCATACATGCATACATATGCCGTTCCATGTACATAAACATATACATATATATATACATAGACATAACCGTAAACATAAATGTGCATACACAAACATAAACATGAACATGTACATATACGTGTACGTATACAGATACATATACATATACATATACATATACATGCATGCATACATACATGCATGCATGCATGCATGCATACTTACATATATATATATATATATATATATATATATATATCCCGAGAAGCCCCCAGGAGGCCCCAAGAGTCTGGCCCAAGAGGCTCCAAGAGGCCCCAACAGGCGCCCAAGATGCCTCCAAGACGACCAACAATTACCCCAAGAGCCCCCAAGGCCCCCAAGAGGCGCCCAAACCGCCTCCAGGAGGCCCCCGAAAGGCACCCCACGACACCCCAACGCATATACAGGAGGCCTCAGATCCACAACCCAGGCAAGGTGGCGGGATGGGCCATAGGCCACTAGGATCCGCCGCCCCCTCCTGATTCATTACAAGGGAGCCTGGCGCGCTGTATCCGTTGGGTTTTGGTTATTCTTCCAAAAGAACTCACCCCTGGGGCTCCAGCCCAACCCGCCAGCCACCCCGAAGGCCGCGCAATCGAGCGCAAACGAATACAACGCTCGGAAAAACTCGCCAGCCAACATGGTCCGAGATGGCCTCCGAGACGGCTCAAGAGAGTCCAAGATGCCTCCGAGTTCGTCCAAGAGGTCTCCCAGGAGGCCCCAGAAGACCCAACATTGCCTGAAAATACCCAAGGAGGCCGCCAA